GTGCCAGAGAGGGAGGTTTGTGGGGCAGGGAGAGGGAGGAGCGCGTCTTTTCTGAGAAGAAAATCTCTCCTCCTGTCAGAAGCTCAGGTCGCCTGTACTGCTGTGATTGGGGTCCCAAGCCACACCAGGAGGGCAGAGTGTGGCCGACCTGGCCCACTCTTTCGTGGTGGCGCTGTATCCTGGGTTCTTCCTCACGCCCCTTCCTCAGGGCTGCTTGGAGGGGATTCCCCTAGCTAGAAACAGAGTCCAAACACAGTCCAAACTCCGAGAAAAGAGAGTGGCAAGTGAGCCTGCTCATTTAGTTTTTGGTGGTTCGGGGCTTCACAGTGAGCTGCAGCTCCAGGCTTTTTAAAACGTTAAAATTTTGAGATAAGGTTTCACTAAGTCACTAAATTGCACAGATTGGGCCTGAACTTTTGACTCTCCTGCCTCAGCCTCCCAGACTGCCGGGATTATAGGTGTGCACTATCACGTAGGCTGACTGTAGTCATGCTTTTAGAATTTGTTATTGCTACATTAAGCTTCTTGGAAAACTCTGTACTTCAAAAGTAATTTTCATAAAAGATGAGTGAATCATATATCATGATGCGTTGCCCATGTATGTGAGACAGTATTCTTTTTATTTAAAGAGTATTCTTTTATTTAAATCATAAAAGACAATATCTACTTTTTTTTTTTTAAAGCCAGGTCTTCCTCATCTATTCACATTAAGAAACCACTGTGAATTTATTTTCTGTCCTTTCTGATGTTTATTTTTCTATACACTCACAAGTGTGTGCCTATATCTTTCTGGGTTTCCAACCACTTAGGACACATTGTTCCCACTTTTTAGGGCTGCTGAAATTCAGTGTGTCACTGCTTTTGCTAAACCCAGAAAATGTCTAGTAAAGTTCTCGTAGCTCATGCTAAAATGTACCCGAGTGCCTCGATATATTTCCTAAGAGGCAGACTGAACTCAGTACTGTAACTTGGAGTCTAGGTTCTTTGGGGACCTAGTTCTACTCTCATCTACAATACTGAGAGGACTGAGGCCGGGGTGCTTGTTTTCCAGGCCATGAAGATGACTCCCTCGCCTTTTATTCTGCTTTTCTGCGGTGGCTCTAATCTTGCAGACAGTGCTCTGCATAAAACCCTGTGACACTCTGTGCCTCTCTCTTCCCGTCTCCCAGCCCCTTCCTCCACTGGCTGGCTTTCCACTTGTGAGGTCAGCCGTGTTGGAGGCCGCACACGGGTGAGGTCAGGTGATGCTTGTCTCTCAGCAAGCCTGGCTTATTTCACTCAACATCTCAGGGAGGAACAAATTCTGTGTCCTGTTACACAGCAGGGTGCTAGCAGGTTAAAGACAACGAGTGAGAGGTTTCAAATAGCTAGGAGACAGGATTCTGAATCTTCTCATTACAGAGAAATGATAAATGCTGGAGGTGAGATTTGAGATTGGTGACTAGGGTGAAGTAAAACTTGTTAAAGATGTGGTCATCACCTGTCAGCCTTGGAGACCTAGGACATATGTGCAGACCCAGAATCCAGGACGTCTGTGCATGCTCCCAAACCCTGGCCCGGGACTGGCTGGACCAATCAGAAAGTGCTACCTTCAGTCCTTCATGTACATTAGGTGTGAAAACCACAGGGCATTTGATTGGATGGTTTAGATCTGATGTCAGGCCAAGTAACTTTCTGATATGACAGCCACTGGGAATACTTTATCTGCATATGAAAAAAGCAATCTAGGGACTCAAGAAACAAAAGACCCCTGCCACTATCCTGGTGGCTGCGTGAGCCTTTCACCTGCAGTCACCCTGGAGAGCCACTTTCTTTTTCTTCTTCAATAACCATAAGTCCTTGCTACCTTTTCAGGGTATCTTGTCCAATTCTTTGTTCAGGACACCAAGCACCTGCAAAGACTCCCTTTGGGACCTAAAAGTGATCACCGTGCAACTTCTACACATCAGGAAACTTTACACCACACCCCACCACACATACGATAGTGATGCGCCTATTAAGCTGAAGCTTACTGAAAAACATGTTAAACTTTGTTAGACAGAAGGAGACCCAGCGACTGAAAGAGCTCACAGATTGAGGGGCTGTAAGAGCCAACAATCAGAGGAGGCGTAACAGCGGTCACTCTGCCTCTCCTCGGCTCTGAGGGCAGAAATGCCTCTGCTCACCCTGACCCCTGAGAAGTAGGGCCAAGACCCCCAGGGCCGCCCAGACCTGAGCCATCCACAGGGACGTGTCTGTGGCATCAGATCCTCCGGGGGACTCTCACCTGTGACTGCCTGGTGCAAATAAGAGGAAAGCACAAGGACAGAAAAGAAAGGCTTAAAAGAATACTCCGTGGAAAGTTTGAACAATTGAAAAGCGAGCTGATGCAAAAAGCCTTTGAATGTGGATGCTGGAGGGAGGAGTCACCTCTGCCGGCCACAGGCTGGGGAGGCTCAGGTAAGGGGAAGAAAGGGCGGGAATCTCCACCAGGGCTCCCAGCAGGGGAGAGACATCTCCCCAGGGCCTCTGAAGCCCACACGTACCTCTGGCCTGCTCCACAGGGAAAGTCATGAATACAAGAGCAAAGCTGTCCCTGAGGAGCGGATTCTTTCAAAATTAAGTCCTGCGAGAAGATAGGTTTTCTATAGGAAATAGTATTTGATTCAATGTAAGAGAGAAACTAATAGAAAAAGAAAATTACAGTACTGAGAACATGGGGAGAGAAAAGGGAGAGAGACAAAGACAGAGACAGAGACAGGGAGGAGTGGCGAGGAGGGACACAATGATCAAGAGAAGCTCACTGAGTGTAAAATCAGATTTTTAAAAAGGAAAAGTCTATGGTACAGCGAGCCCGCAGGGGGCGCGCCTGAGCTGAAAGTCGCAGCCTAAACACCTGCGGGGTCACTGAGGCTCGGCGGGGCTGGTTCCTCCTGAGCTCCTGTGCTCCCTGACAGTGCCGCAGGGAGCAGACGTTCAGGAAGCCAGGAGCTGCCTGGCCAAGGCCTTTGGCATGCCCACGCCCACGCCAAGCCACTGCTCCCTGTCCCCGAGTGTGGAGGGGCCGCGGAGCCCGGACCTGCCCACCCAGAGAGCCCGGTGCGGAGCCCGGAAAGGACAGGAGCGGGCTCCTCGGTGCGCGTGCGCCCCTTCTCCTGGTTTGGGGCTCCAGCTGAGGCCCCTCAGATTCAAGTCGGATCAGAAACGGAGCAACACAGGTCCCAGGCCCTCCGTCCCCTTCTGCGCGGGGCTGGCCGTTGGGGTTCTGCAAAGCCCATGCGCGCTCCGGGAAGCATGCAGCGTGAGCAGTTCCCACTCGGCATTTGGGGTACAGGCACATTGCAAAACTACTCGCCCTTTTCCTGAAACTCAGTTATTCCCGGATGACCCCGACTACTGTCTGACTCTGGGGGTCCCCGAGGCACCTGGGAGGGGGTGGGAAGGTCAGACCTTAGAGTGTGGGAAGAACTAGACAGGGAGTACCAGTAAATTATCCTGTTTTATTTTTTGAGACAAAGTCTCCCTTTGCAGTTCAGGCCGGCCTTGAATTCACACAGCCCAGAGTGGCCTCAAACTTACCGTGATCCTCCTGCCTCAGCCTCCCAAGTGCTGGCATTATAGGCATGCACCACAACAGCCAGCAAGAAGTTGTCTCTTAAAGATGAAAAAAACCACAGAATCCTTGGGGAGAGGAGCAGGGCACCTGGAGTGTCTTTAATCCCACTAAAGCTTCACCTAGCCCAGTATCCCTCGCCCAGTTCCCCATGGGAGGAGTGAGCCCAGAGCCCTCCGGTCAGGCGTGATTTCAGCTGGCAGTGGTGGCAGTGAGCTCACTGTAGAGAGGAGGGGGGCAGACACTGAGGACAGGCAGCAGGGGACACAGAAAGACACAGTGACGGGCATTGGCTCATAGCAGACCTGCAAAGCTGCAGTCATGGCACAGAGGCAAACACACAATGTGCACACGCCCATGGTGACTGTCTGAAAACACACTTGCCCTCCTTGTCGATCTGTCTCACTGAACTCAACTCTTTTGCCTGTGGCTGTCCAGCGTGTTTCCTAGTAGGCAATATCGGAACCACCATCTGAGGGCTGAGGCCAGCCAGGCAGGAGTCGGTGGTCAGGCACTGTGCTGCTCTGGCCTGGGGGAATGTCCACAGCTTGCAGTGCCCAATCACATGCTCCTGCCTAACCTCTTGGCTTAGAATCCCCCATCAATTCCAGGTCTCAGGGAGAGGGATTTTAAGCTCCAGCTGGAGGGTTTACCCGTCAAGCCTGCCCCAGTGCTGGGCTAAGTGATACTTAGTGATACTTACTGTCCTTTGATGTTCCTGGAACTACAGGGTTCCAGCCCGGGACCTTCTTTCTGATTTATTCATCATTTATCCTGCCTTAGATTTGGAGCTCTCCTGGCAGAATGACTCTACTAGAATTATGCTGCATTCCACCCCAAGTTTAAACTCTGATAGGGTGGAGGGGTTTTATCCTGGGCCCTGGTGACCCATGGGCTCTACAACTAGGCAGTTTCTGGGGGGCATGGAAACTACTTTTTACCTTTCTGTGCCTTTGTGCCTAAAAATCCACTGGTAAAAATATAGTTGAACCCCAATAGCTAAACGTCATTTAGTGGGAAAAGGCGGTGGTACTTATAATAATGGAAGTTTTGTTTGTCTTTTTGAGGCAGGGTCTCACTATGCGGTTCAGGCTGACCTTGGGCTCACTTTGTAACCCAGGCTGGTCTTGAACTTGCAAGGATCCTCCTGCCTCAGCCTCCCAGTGCTGGGATTACAGGCGTGCGCTACCACACCCGGCTATGACGGACGGAAGGTTTGAAACGGAGGAACTAAATCTGCTTTCTGTTGCGATAAAAGGAAACTGACAAGCTGCCCAGTCGGGCTGACAGGGCCTGCAGTCCTCGGGGTCTCATGGACGTTCCGGGACCTCGGGGCCACGCTTCGGATCTCCAGGGAATAGGAAAGTAAGCACAAATCTGTGACACCGGGGCGCAGGGCCACACTCACCCGTGCTGCTCTGGATGGTGCGCACCGTGGTGGCCGTGCGCGGCGGCGAGGCCGAGCGCAGCGACACGCACTCGTCGTCCTGCGAGCAGCCCTTCTCGATGGCGCGCACGTAGCTGTGGCTCCGCATGCGGAAGCAGCCGGGCACCGGCAGGTCCAGCGCCTCCACCGCCTGGGACTCCAGCTCACTGAACACCGACTCGCACACGGACTCGAACTGCCCGTTCACCTCCATCTCGCTCACCTGCGGACAGCACCCGCGTCAGTGCCCTGCGCGCCCTGCGCCTCCAAGGCGCCGATTTCAAGAAGCTTTGTGCATGCATTCCCTGCTGCGTGGTCTCTGTCAGCCCCGCAGGAAGGCTTGGCTTCCAGCCCCGGGCCTCCTGCGAGCCAGGCGAGCCCCAGCCCCAGCCCCGGCCTCTCCTGGGTTGGCTGCGCTGCGAATCTGGAGAGCTCGAATCTCCCCGCGGAGCTCTGCAGCGCGAACACGGTAGGAGCAAGTGTTTTCACTGGCGGTTCAGGTGACAGCGGGGCAGACCGCTCGGGCTTGGCTAAGGCCTCGTTAAGGGGAGCGTTCCGAAACCTGCTTTACAGTCCTGCGCAAAAACAGACGAAACTCAGACTGCGCAGTCTGGAAAAGCACCGTCAAGACTCTCAAACCAGACACAAGTTTGACTCTTCTTTATAGACAGCTGACGTGGTACCCAGCTTGCTTAAAAGCACCTGGAAAAAGTCTTTGAAGCCGGCGTGGTGGTGCATACCTGTAATCCCAGCACTCGGGAGGTAGAGGCAGAGGGATCCCTGTGAGTTTGAGGCCAACCTGGGCTACAAAAGTGAGTTCAAGGCCAGCCTGAACCATACAGTGAAACCCTGCCTCAAAAAAAGACCAAAACAACCCCCACAAAAAACAAATACAAAAACCCCAAAACCAACCCAAACCCCCCCAAAACTGTGAAATGATGTGTTCTCTGTTTTTTTATTAGATAGTATTAGCTCTCTTGTTTATTTTTTTGAGAGGTCAGTTTTTATAATTTATATCCCTCTGTGTAGAACTCTTATTGAACTCGAGTACAGTTTATTAAAAAAGTTACGCATAGCTAGACGTTCCAGTCAGTATCTCACTGTGTGGATGACCGCCGGAAGATTTGGAAGCAATTTCTGTTGTGTTCCAGGACTTTTTGCTTCTGTTTTTCCTAACATCGAACTCATGAGCAATGGGGAATTTAATTAGGCTTAGAACACTTATCAAATATTGTTAAAATTGTTATCTGTTTTTGTGTTATCTGAAGATGTTTAATTTCTTAAAGCCTCAGAGAAGAAAGGCCATGTACCTTCTGGTATTTTACTGGAAAGAGACTTGCATTTCTTAATAAGAAATATTCATAGCTTAAAAGTAGTATTTGAATATCTTTTACCTAATTTGACAAAAAATGTCTGCATATTTTCAAGGCAAATGACTGCATGCACTCATGTTAAGATTACATATTTGTCTTTACAGATAAATCTTTGCCCTTTGGGAAATTCCTGGGTATATTTAGAGGTGGAGGAATGCAATACCCGTGACTGTTGGGTGGAATGAAGGAAAGAAACAGTGGACCAGCGTGGTCTGTTCGTACTGACCAATGGATCAGAGTCTGGGTCATAGGTAGACAGAAGTCTTTGTCCGACACTGTGATTCTTGTAAGTTTGAAATGGTTTTCAAGTAGACAGTAAAGCCAACTATAGCATGCACGTGTTTACATCTCTCGCTATAATAATTTTTTGATATATCTCTTATGAATGGCATAATAAACATCAGAAAGATACAGTAAACATCATGTCAGGGTAACAACCATTAAACTTGGATGCCTGACTTAGCAAGTTATGCTCCCCCATCAATTTTTTAATCTAATTTGAATCATAAAATAAATATAATTCTCTGACTTGTTTGCTTTTTTTTATATAATGGACTGAGTTAAGCATATCTGTCTGTCTATCTGACTTATTTAATTGTCACAATAATGGAAAGCTAACACAGTAGTTTAAGTACTTTGTTATTCTTGATATACTTAGTACATGTTTCTTTTGATTACGGTTTTTTATTGAAGAGTGTGTATCATTTGACCAAAGGAGCTTTTCAGTGTAGATTGTGCTGCATGCATGTTCCTGATGCTTTGGGTACGTCCTCCTGGCTTTTGTGTTTTTTTGAAGATTGCTCACTGTCCCCAGAGCCTGGCTAGCAGGCAGGTGCTTGTTCATGGAAAGGCACACTGGGTCAGGGCCAGCTCTCTCTTTATGTCGTCAGAAATCATTTTATGCTCAATGCCTAGATCCACCAACTCATCAGGGCTGCGAAATGGCAGTATTCTAATTCTATCCTTATGTTTATAACTCCTGGTTGGAGAATTTTAATTATGTCTTATATTATTGGGCTACTTAATGGCTTAGTTAATATGGAGGTGGAAAAACAAATGCTTGATTTCTTCCTCTTCCTTTGAGCAAATAATACTTTCCCTCTTGTCTTCCAGAGGTGATGAGATAAATTTTAAAAAGATCAACATTGCAGGCATAGTGGTGAATGCCTGTAATCCCAGCACTCTGGCAGGAGGACTGCAAGTTTGAGCTCCCCTGGGCAGTCGAGTGACTTATAAAAATAAAAAATAAATGAATAAAAATAAAAAATAAATGAATAAAAATGAAAAAGTAGTTGAGGTGTATCTTAGTGTGAAGGCCCTGAGTTAAATTCTCAGGATTGTCAACAACAAAAACTATACCAAACCAAATCAAAACAACAAAAACCAAAAAAAGTCAAACTAGATTACAGATCAAAAAATATTTGCTAGTTGTTATAGTGTGGTAAGGGTCTTCCAAAGGCATCTCTCTACCCGCTGGGAGGTGGTAGACTTGTAGGAGGCGGGGCCTACAGGGCAGAAGTGAGGTCATTGGGGGCGTGGCCTCAAAAGAGCTGTGAGGACTTCTGCCCCTTCCATAGGCATTGCAGGTCTCCTGCACACTCCTGGCTGTGATTTTTTTTTTTTTTTTTTTTTTTTTATCGGTGCTGGGGATCGAACTCAAGACTGCCTGCTTGCAAGGCAAATGCTTATGCTGCTGAGCTAAATCCCCAGCCCCCTGGCTATGATTTTGCCTCACTTCAGTCCCCAAGGCAGCAGACTCTATGACAGTGAGCAGAAATAAACCTGTGCTTTTTTTAGGTTTTAAAAAGACCACGGCCATGGAAAGATGACTAATGCGATAACTTTAAATGGAGTTTGTTATTCTTGTAAACTAATTCGTGTCATCTTTGGCCAGCAAGCGCCTCTCAGTTCAGCCTTGAGTCTTTCTTGGACCTAAGTTTCATAGTCTTAAAAGGCTTCCTTAATAGCAACCCAATTTTGCCACCAATACCAGGAGGCATGGAGCAATTAAATGGGTAGGCAATCCTGGGGTCTTTTGGGTCTGTCACTGGCTAGCTGTATACACAGACATTTAATCCAGCCATCACTTATTTCTACACACACACACCCCACACACACTGTGCACACACACACACACACACACACACACACACAGACACACACTCAAACACCCCACAGTGAAAGGCTGTACTAAGTCAAAAGTCACAGGAAAGCTGCTGCTTTTACTACTGAGCCCCAAAACTGCCTAGTTACATTACTTTTCAGACACTTCCAGGCAGGGTGGGGCATGCCTGAAATCCCAGCATTCTGGTGGGCTGAGGCAGGAGCATGCTGAACTTTGAATTCATTGCGGGCAGCTTAGCAAGATCCATCTGAAAATAAAGACAGGCTGGGGCCATAGCTCAGTGTGAGGGCCTGTGCTCAGTCCTCACTACAGGAAAAAATTTTAAAAAAAGAAAGAAAGAAAGATGTAGTCCTGTAGCTGACCAGGTAAAATATCGGCTTCTAGTTTGCAACTTCAGATGAAGAATCTTAGGATTTGTACTTGAAATAAATTAAGACATAAATTAATTTGAAATGATAATTACAACATGAAATAGTTTTTAAAAATCTGATCTTCTATAATTCTTTTCAAAACCTACTCTATAAAAGCACGCACTTCATTAGGCACAGTAAAATACAACCAGAGCACTTGTTATTCTTTGAACGTGCTTTAGGCTGGCATTTTCCAAACTTTAAATTAAATGCTTTTTTATCAGAGTCCTTGGAATATTTGTTAAAATTTGCATTCTGAGATCTGATTCCTAGAAGCTTTCTCTTTAAAGTCTTGGGAATGTATCATCTTTTTGTGCTTCACATTGGGATCTTATTCGTAATTATATAGTTACAGGGAAAGTCCCATTTAAGATCTGGTTACTTACATATCTTACAGGTGTTTATAGGAGTCATATGTGGACATAAAGCAACTGGAAAGTTAACCAGATAAGTTCCTAAGCACAGAGACTCTGATGGTTAATTCCAAGAGTTTTTGTGGTAGTAAAAAGATAAAGTTAGTGAAAGAATTTTTTTGTTTCTCATAAGTCCTCTCTGAGACTCTAAACCTTTTGGGGACAGGTATTATGTATACTCATAATGGCATTACTTGAAAAATCTGGCCCAGTGCTGGGACTTAGCTCAGCAGCATAAGCGCCTGCCTAGTAAGTAAGTATGAGGTCATGAGTTTGATCTCTGGTACCAAAAAAAAAAAAAAAAAAAAAAAAAGAAAGAAAATCTTGCTCAGTGTTTTGCTTAATTAATATTAGTTGGGATAGTACTTATTTTTTAAGCTCATGATGTAAATTTAAATTTAGAACCTCCAACATCATTTCATTTGAAAAATACTCTTTTCTGGTAATACCAGGGATTATGGTTCTTCACCCTGCACTATGTTCCCAGCCCTATTTTTATTTTTTGCTTTGAGGCAGGGTCTTGGTAAATTGCTAATTTGCTTACGCTGGGCTTGAATTTGTGATCCTCCTGTTTCAGCCTCCAGAGTGCTGGGATTATATGTGTGAGCCACCATGCCTGGCAGAGCTATCCTTCCTGGTGTCCTCTCTGAAGGATTTCCCTTCTGTCTTTTGGTGGCCTCTGAAAGCTAAGGATCAGTTCCTCCAAGGGTCCCAGGTTCATTGCCCCTGAGCTCAGGACCCCCTGATGTTTTGCATGGGGAAGCCCAGGACCAACGCATGCTAAGCATGGCTTTACCACCCACCCCTCCCCAGGTCACTCTGCCCCCTTGCATGGGACAGCCTGCAGTGTCACAGCTGGGCACTGGATGGAGTCTTCGACCTCGCTCCGTGCTGGTTCTTAGGGGTGGGTTGGAGTTCAGCGCTGGACACAGTATTCCCTCGGGCCAGCTGAAGGGCACAAAGGGTCCTCTGTTTCCTGAGCCGGAGTTCCGTCTGGAGGGTCTGTGTCCAGCTCTAGTGCCCTATGATTAGCCCTTCCTTGGCCTGGCTGATGGATCCAGCCTGTGTGTGTCTTTTGTCCATGTAACAACCCTGACCTTGGCGCCAGCCCCTTCCGGACACCAAGACCCTGCCTGAGTGCTGGTGGGTTCCCAAGGGCCCTCCTGGGCCTGGTCACCTGCAGTGGGCCATCTCTCCTGGACCAGGACACCAGGAGCCAGCTGTTGAGGGCACCTGCCTGGCCTCTGGTCTGGACCCTCAGTGGCCCCCACGTCCCTCCACTCAGCTGTCCCCAGCTCTGCCCGGATCTCGTGCTCACCTGGCTGATGGTGCTCATGGCGCGCATGTAGCTCTCGTTCCTGGAGCGGAACTTGGGCGACGTGAGCAGGCCCGCGGGGTCCAGGCTGTCCAGGCTCCGGTTGATGGAGACTTCACTCACCGCCCTCAGGTAGCTGTGACTGCGGATCTGGAGCTTGGGCGAGTGCTCATTGGAGATCCTGGAGGGCACAGCGAGGGATGCGGTTAGCCACGTCCCACACACGGGCAGCAACAAGACCGCCGTGGTCTGTGCAGCACCTGAAGCGCCCAGAAAACAGCACAGCTGCTGCCCAGATGGCCAGACTCCCAGCGGTGTGGCCTCAGGAAACTTTTCTCTTTAGTTCGACATGTTTGCTTTCTTTTTAAAAATTTTATTATTTTGAAAAGTATTCTGTTACTTATTTTTACGAGTACACATTTGCCATACAGAAGGATGAGGCCTATGGTGGGGGGGGGGGTCGGCACGTGGACGCAGGGCGTCCCCATCCTTTTTATCTCCCCCTCTCTGTCCCCTTCTCATTTGAGGAAGATCTCCCTGCCTGTTTCCTATTCTCTCTCTTTTATTTTGCTCTTTACTTAACTTTGGGTTCTTATAAAAAAATTCTAACTGCTAACACTAATCACGTGTGTTTATGGGGGACAGTGGGGTATCACTGCAGGTGGACAGTGTGCAGTGTCCCGGTGGGGTAACTGGTATACCCCGTCACTCGGACACCTGCACAACTCTGTACAGAACGCTCAGACGCCTCTCTGTCAGCTCTTCTGAAACACAACTGCTCTCAGCCATAGTCACCTCCTGTACCTCAGCAGTCCTGGCTCAGCTCCCACCTATTAACTGTCCTCTATCCATCTCTGTCCCTCTCAACCTTCCCAGACTCTGCTGATGTTCTATTCTCCACTTCTGTGAAATTAACCATTTAAGGCTTCTACATTTAGGTGGGAACATTCAGTACTTGTCTTTCTGGGCCTGGTTTACTTCTCATAATGTAATGCTATTCAGTTCTAGTCGTGTTGTCACACGTGACAAAATTTCCCTTTTTATGGCTGAGTAATATTCCACTGTATACACACACTGTGTTTTCTTTGTCCACCTGTCCACTGCTGGACATTTAACTTGACTCCACGTGTTTGCTACTGGGAAAGGGGCCAGAGTAAAAAGGGGACATAAGAGTCTCCCTAACATGCCAATTTCATTTCCTTTGCAAGATATCTTGTAGAAGGATGGCTGAATGCTAAGGTAGTGTGGCTAGGCTTTTAGAGACCTCTATACTGTTTTCCATAGTGCCTGTACTAATTTACATTCCCATCACCAATGTATAAAGTTTCCTCTTTCTTTACAGAAGGAACTGTTTTGACGAGAAACCATCCGGATCTGATGACATTAGAGCAATTAGAATTCCCTTTGACCATAAAATAATCTCCCCATTCACATTTTTCTAAACATCTTAGGGAAAGAGATAACAGCAGTGATTGTCTTGCCCCAGAATTCTGTATCGTATTAAGGTTTTCTTTGTATATGTTTCTCTCCTGTGGCTCTCTTTTTGATTTTGGCTTCTCTAGTTGCAGCCAGTAGCTCTGTATCTATTTATATCTGTCTATCCATGAACCACTCATCCATCTGTCATCTACCTATGCTAAGTAGAAATTTTAATTGTAAAATTCCATTCAATTGGACAAAATGTAAAGTCAATAGAGATAAAAAATGAGAAGCTCCAGAATTTTATGAAGAAACTGGTAAAACATCACGGAAAGTAATGAACAAGGTCTGAATAAATGCAAAAGAAAAAAAGGAATTTAACAGTTTTTCTGATAGAAATACCCAATTTTGTAAAAAAATTTAATTTGCAAATTTATCTATAAAGTTAATAATGTTGCATCAAAAATCCCCATAGACTTTACTGCAATGAATTCCCAGTGCCTTTTTGCTTTTGCCAGAAACCCAGAAAATAACAAAACAAAGAAGCATAATGCAATCTCACACTTCCAGCCCACCCAGAACAAGTCCAGGAGTCACCAACACAGAAGAAGAAGGGAGACACACCCCTGAAATGTCTGAAATGATAGCAATGGAAGTAAGGAACCAAATCTACGAGGCTAGGGAGGAAATCAGATCAGAAATACTCTCTAAGGTTAAAAAAGAAGTGTCTGTTGGGGACCACACATTCACAGCGACTGGTTTTGCATATTCCCTATGGGATCAAAGGAAGAATTGGGATTATTGGTACCATTCATCTGAGATTTCCCACTGACTCTTCTAAGCATAAGATGATCTGTGCCTTAAATCGTCACAGGATTACACTCTTGTCAAGGTACTTCTAAACATAAGATTATCTGCGCCCTCTAGAGGCAGAGTCTTCCATGAACTGTAGTCCTTTGCTAGCTCCACATATCACCATATACATCTAATAAACAGTGGCTGCTTTGGGAGTGAAGAGCTTGGATCCAGAGACACTGACTTCCCAGTCATAGTTGGAATACGATACTTGGCTCTGTTTTTAATTTTTCTTGCTGCATTCTCCAGACTGACAATCAGGACTCTTGGCTGGGTTCCCGATAAAGTCAATATTTATAAGTGAAATGCTCAGCACATCTAGAGTGGAGATAGACAAGAAAATAGATGATGACAGGAAGAGGATGGAAATCATGAATGATCAATATAGGAAACAAACAGAATGAATGAAACATTCAAACAGACATCAGGAAATCAAAAACTCCATCAAAAGCTGGCAAAACAACTTGAATGAAACTGAATGAAACTTCAAGGACTTTCAGACCTTGAAGACAGCATCATGGCTAGTGACCATGAAAGGAAGACCTCTTGAAAATAACAAAATACCGAACCAGACTGTGGCCGACAAGGGAAGGAAGCTGGGCCTCCTATATACGCTTGTATATAAGGAACAAAGAATATGGGAAAAGGGAGCAACAAGAAAGGCCCCTCAGCCCCCAATCCTGAGAAACAGGCAATAGCAGGCACGGCACCAATAGACATAAAGCGCTATCTCCAGAGCCTCATAGACGAGTTCAGGAATGAAGTTATTAATGACCTGAAGCAAGACATAAGCAGAATAGTTAGAGAAATGCTAAGCACCACCCAAGAAAAAACATGGTGGAATGGAAGAACAGAAAAAAAGGGGAGAATTGTTTGATGGAGAAAACAGAGAAAACATAGAATACGTGAAGCAGGTTCAAAGAGATTACCAGGAAACTAAAAACTCTATCGAAAACTGGCATAATAGCTTGAAAGAAACTAAGGATAGATTATCTGAACTTGAGGGCAGGTTTGTAATATGGGAGCATGAAATGAAAAACTTCTTAAAAATAACAAAGAAACAAACAGCAATAATACAAAGACTAGAAAGTGATAAGAGGATCTATAACTTAAGAATTAAGAACATAAAAGAAGAGGTAGGGACACAAACAAATGAACGACAAAAGCTACTCACAGAAATAATCCAGGAAAATTTTCCTAATTTAACAAAAGGTAAAGATACTCAGATGTATGAGGAATACAGGACCCCAGCCACCTACAACCCAAACAAAGCTACACCCAGGCATATAATAATCAAAATACCAGAAATCCAATATAAGAACAGAATATTAAAAGCCGTCAGAGACAAGAAACAGATCACTTACAAGGGAACACCCATCAGAATTACAGCAGACTTCTCAGCACAAACCATCAAATCACGAAGAGCGTGGGGGGAAATAATTCAAGCTTTGAAAGATAATAACCTCCAGCCAAGATTGATATATCCTGCACAACTATCCCTGGAAATTGATGAAAAAACAAGGTGCTTCCAGGATAAAGAGGAACTAGGGGAATTTGCAGCCACCAATTCAACTTTACAGAGAATACTGCAGGATATTCTAAAAAAGAAAAATACGAAGAATCCAGAAATACTGGCAGAGAGGCCACAATGAATGGAGCAGAAAACAAAATGAAGAAGACAAACTGACAACTAATGACAGAAAAAGAGCTCAACAGAAATGAGGCAGAGAAGATTGGATGATAAGAACAGCTATTTTGGAGAAAACGACGTCATAATAGTATCAGGTTTGAAAGTTTAGGCAACAGCTGTGAAGATAGTGGGATTCATTATGACGCCCATTCTGGTTGACTATTATCTACTTTTGAAGACCTGTAATGTCTCCAATGTTTTGGTTTTGTTCTTTATTGTTTTGTTCAATTTTATTATAACTGATGATATAGGCAATTCTATTTGAGATAGCGGGAGGCATTATGGTAACCATTGTTGATCACCTTGTATTATGTTTTTACATTATCTATTATGTCCACCCTTTTGATTTGACCGACTCTGTTCTGTTACGTCACATTTGGTTTTACTCTCTTCCAAAAAAGTAACAAGAACTGTGGGAATAATAAAACCCAAAATGTGTAATAGTCATTGTACAAAAGAGAGGCAAAGAAAGTGCTCTAAATGATATAACTGCATGTATATTTAAGTGTATAAGATAGACAATGATATTACTGAGTTTTGTTGGATCATTGAACAGAACTGTTTGCAGACTCACTGTTTGAATGTCCACTTTATATACTTTAATTTTGTAACTTGAACAAATATTTCTAAGATGACAATATGTAATCCATTAACTAGTGATGTACCCATTTTCTGCTTTTTTTTCTCTTTTTCTCCTTAAATAAAAATTTTAAAAAAGAAAATAACAAAATACCAGGAAAAAACAATTCAACAGCTACAAGATGATGCAAAGAAAAATAATATAAGAATAATTGGTGTCAGGTTGGGGACTTAGCTCAGTGGCTCAAGTGCTTGCCTGGTAAGCACAAGGTCATGAGTTTGATCCCCTGGTACAAAAAAAAATGATGTCAGTGGCAAACCAGGAACCAAAACGAATGACATTAAAAAACCATTTGCAGAAATAACAGCAGAAAATTTACCTAGCATGCAAAAATAATCTGACATGCACTTAAGTGAGGCATATGGAATCCCAATTAGCCATAAATAAAATAAATCTACACCAAGACATATAATGATCAAGATCTCATAAATTCAGCACAAGAACTGAATATTAAAAGCTGTTAGAGAAAAGAAACAGATCACTATAAGGGAAAGCCCATAAGAACCACTGCAGACTTCTCAGCACAGACTCTCAAGGTAAGAAGTACTTGGCATGAAGTACTTTAAGGTCTAAAAGA